AACAATAAACTGGTCATCTAAACTCCCCTACCACATTTTTTAACAATAAACTGGTCATCTAAACTCCCCTACCACATTTTTACAATAAACTGGTCATCTAAACTCCCCTACCACATCTTTACAGTGAACCTGGTCATTTATCTTTAACTTTATAAAATAATCCTAACAGAAAGGTTTCTGGTTGACAGTCATCTAAACATGTTTGATCCAATTTCAAGAATTACACTATTGGAAAGACAATGTTTAACATCTTTGATGGAATTAATAGACACACAAATAATATGATGCAATTGTACTCTATTACCTTAGTCTGTCATCAAAACCAGTACCTGCTCACCAACCAAATGTAGGTTGGTCTGGTCTGGGATAAATACACTTTACATTCTGACACATTCCAGTAGCACATCTAGTTTCCCTGCAGTTTTTGTTTGGCAGTTGGCTCGAATTTAAATGATAAATGATTTTTCACCCTCTAATATTGAATTATACACAAATACTTTTGTTGGCATAATATGTTAAGACGTAACCGTGCAAGTTACAGCAGTTATCGGTAAAATGCAAAGTCTGAAATGTAAAGTCTCTAGCACTGAGTACACTGTACTTGCTTGAGAGATCATTTTCTAATAAGATAGTTAAATTTTGTGGTAAATGTTACATTTTCTCAGAACATATACTAAAAGACAAAAAAAAAACATTATTGAATTAATTTAATAAAATGAAGTACATTAAAATCTGTGTTCAGAGGCCATTCCTTCTGCAAAGATTTTAGGTCTCGAACAGGATTCTTGTAACAGATCTATCTTATTTAATCAGTTGAGTTTTTAATTATATATGCATTTAATTTAATCAAATTGTGTAAGACAATTGTGTACAGTTTCAAAAATAATTTAAAATTTTGCTTCTGGTCACAAATGCCTTTAAAGAATAATGCATAACATATACAACTTGCTTTATTAAAAATGAAAAGTGTCGGTGACTGTCTGCCTTCCTGAACTACCAAAGTTTTTAGTATACAAGTGTTTTGATTTCATAATCAAATCAAAACTATATGCTTGAACAAGTATTAAACAATAACTAAATCCATATCTGACATGATAATCAAACATAATTTCTTGATTCATGATGTTATTGTCTTGTTCACTACACCTGGGCAGTGGACAGGTAACTAATTTGGAGCTACTAGGCAAGGTGGAACATACTAAGAAAATAGTTACATATAGAAACATGCTTCAGTTTTTGTTTAGTTTTTCTAACTCTTTATGACCTGTTTAAACAGTCATACTTAATGTAATTTTTACTGTTCCAATAGTTACTTGTTCTCACAGTATTCATTGTTCCCTTATTTAATATATATTAATCAAACACTGTAACACAAAGTCCCCACATTTAGTGAACTATCAATAGTCATATTGGGCCAGTAGAATATCTGTAAGGCAGGTGGATTTTTTTCATCTTTTCATCCTGGTGGCTAGTGGATGGAAGAATTAATTCCAAACCCTCAATCAGGAATACTCAAATGTATTTATGTAGAGATTACACTCAAACTTAAAGGTAACGGAACACTGAAAAACAATGTTGATTCACACGATGACATATAGTTTTTAATATTCTTCACTTAAGTACTTTATTAATAGACTATAAACAACACTTACATAACTAACAATGAATGTGTAAGTTGGCACTTACCAGTTGATCTTCCACAGTAACAGTGGGGAAAATACTGGTCAGGAGTTCCTTTGTTCTCAGCTGCTCCTCTTTCACTGTACTGTCCAGCCACTTAAAATGGAGTAATTGTGTCAATTTAGTTTTCACTTAGCAGTTTAGTATCCAAATGTATGTATACATTTCACATTCACAATACTTTCAAAAATATTTTCCAAGTTCTGATTCCTGAGCTACCTAAGTCCCATTAACATCATATACATAAATTAACCCTAGGTGTTAGTTCCTGTAGCCTGTCTGGTCAAGGAACTTGCCGACTGTTTCATAGAATAGTTACATTGTGCCCTACTTTACCTTGTCTGTAGAAGAAAGCTTTACAATGGTCGCATGATATAGTTACATTGTGACCTACTTTACCTTGTCTGTAGAAGAAAGCTTTACAATGGTCGCATGATATAGTTACATTGTGACCTACTTTACCTTGTCTGTAGAAGACAACTTTACAACAGTCACATGATAGTTACATTGTGCCCTACTTTACCTTGTCTGTAGAAGACAGCTTTACAACAGTCAAATGATATAGTTGCATTGTGCCCTACTTTACCTTGTCTGTAGAAGACAGCTTTACAACAGTCAAATGATATAGTTACATTGTGCCCTACTTTACCTTGTCTGTAGAAGACAACTTTACAACAGCCACATGATATAGTTACATTGTGCCCTACTTTACCTTGTCTGTGTGTTGGGGACAGCTTTGTGATGGTCACATTGGATAACTACATTGGATCACATCTGTCAACTCGACCTTACCTGACTCTCATTACGAGAGGAGTGACGATACTTTGCACCAACTTGAAACTAATGTTAGAGTGACCTTTATATGTTGAAAAAGCAAGGGTTTAACATTAATCAGAAGACAAGAACTCCAGCCACTAGAAAAGATTTAGTATTTGTGTTAACAACAGCCCTGCAACCATTCTTATAGAATGGCATACACAATGGTAGGCTTCCTCTTATAATTACCAGCAGGAATTACCAAGGTGATTACATTACTTCTCATTCAGTTAAAAGTTTAACGAAAGAAAATTTAGTCTTCTTTCTTAAGAACTTTTGCCAGAAAGAAATGATTCAGCTTCTGCTGATTAGTTTGGAGAGCCTGGTGATAAATATCATAATATATCTGAAGCCTGAACAACTGTAACAGTGTTACTTCAGCAATTCGACCTGATATATGACCAAGTCACTAATCTGGCAGAAATTAAGTCTCATGAACATGATGTCTACAATAACTTTGCTGCATCCAATACCAAACTGTGATGCTCATAATCTAAAGTGCATCCCAGCATGTCAGCAGCAGACTGTGAGGATACCTTAGTGAACAAGTTAGTTGAGGAACTCCGTAACGAGTCTATACTGCATCAATCAGGCAATAGAAATATTATGTCTATAACAGAAACTGCACACATAACAATGAGGTGTGAATTGCTATCTTTAATGAAGGTGCAAGTGAATAAAGCCTGTAGTGGTAGTTGCAGTGATTCTACAAGAGATGCAACAACAGGTTCACTAGAGACGGAAAGCCAAGAATTCTTGAGGTCCACCAATTCAAATTAGCAAGTCCAATAAGAAACCTGTAACTGATCTAGGATAAAAAAAAACAGCTGTCTGTTTTTTTTTATGTGTAGTTGTTGGTAAGACAAGGTCTATGACTTGCATGCATCTGAGGTAGAGTTTTTAGTTGATAAAAACACCACTAAAACTCTATTTTATCTTGCAATGTAACAGCTATTAACAACTGAATGCACAAGAGAGAATACTGAAAAATCATTATAACCTACAGAAAAGCAGTTCGCAATCTGTGATGCAGCTTGTAGTCCCAAGAGCTGTAAGAACCAAGATTCTTCAAATTATACAATATGCATATCATAGGACATCACAGAGTATCTCAGACTACAGCCAACCTGAGGAGACGTTCTTAGTGGCTGCATTTCCACAAGAATGTAGAGTGATGGAGCCTGGGGAAACTATCAGCAAGTTGGACATTCTCAATTCCAAAAAAACAGCCCTGGATATTGTCAGGTCCCTCCTGGAGACTGGTCATAGTAATCATCATATCCTCATCACAATTAATTACTTTACAAAGTATGTTAATATTTGATATTTTGGCTCAAATGGTTGCTGACACAGTAGTCAAGCAGTGGATAGCTCCATTAAAAGCACCAGATGAGATCCATACTGAGACAGAAGAAATCCTCAACAGTCAGTTGTTTCCAAGTTGTGTATGAATTTGCATGTGTTAAAGATTCATATTTAACCATATCCTCCTCAGTCTGATGGTTTTTCCAAAAAGTGTAAAATATGCTTTGAAGACTGAGTTCAAATCAAAATCACTGGGATGGTTACTTAACATATGTAATGATGGCATGCCATGCAAAAATGTTAATGCTCAGACATGAAATTATTCTCCCTACAGACTGCATGTAGAGTTCCCATGAAAAAACGCCTGCAAGAACATATGGAGAGGTTGTAATCAACTTAATTGAAGTACGATTTTGCACAAAAACAGACAGGAGAAGCAGTCAAGGGAAAGAAGAGAATGTACGACAAATTATGAAAGAGCACCACATCAAACAAGAACATTGGATGTGGCTAAGACATTTTCTTGTGTAAGCCATTCAGATACTTATCTTGTTTTACAGCAATTTCATCTATTGCAATACAAGATTCAGCATTCATAAGGTGGTCAAATTGCATAAAATATGTTATCAGTAAGCCTTTTCAACACTGACTAGATCGAGAGGTGGAGTGTAAACATATCATAGCTGTGGAGGATGATGAGAATGCCATCTAGAAGAAGAAACCAACATCAAACCTTTCTGTCTGTTCACAAAATCAGAATCAAAGAAAATGCTGTCTGAGCCGATGGCATATGCATGGCTAGTGACAATGTTAGGGCTACAACTTTTTCATTTTCTTGTGTCACTCAATATAATGGGTGTTAAAGTTTATGGGTAGAACAATAATGACCAAGATTGGTGCAGTAGAAGGTACCTCCTTTTCGACAATAAAGGTAACACTTGTACATTAATTTGATAAACTTCAATTGATGATTAGAATGTAGGTTTCAACAATCATTACCATATGTTTGAACAGAAACTCTTCACCTGTCTTCAGATAGGTTTATCGATTTTATGTCAGTTTTTTACTTCCTTTCTTTATTTGTTCCCAAGTGATATTTTGAGAAATATTTTAACACTGACCAATGAAGTTAGTTCGACTTTTTACTCAGTGAAATCCCTAGTTTCCATTATTTTTCTCTGGTGTATCATGCAAGACATCCTTGACATCAACTAGACTGAAAGATCCAACATACATGGCACTCATTATCACATATGTGAAATCTAACAATCTTCTAGATCCAGTTCACAGTGATGAAGACAGATCCCTTTCAATACCCATCAGATTAAGAAAGCAGAAATTTTAGAAGAATCAAATGCCAGTTTGACTCCTGACCCTTTATACTTCTCTCTAAGTATGTCTCAAACAGTAGACATACTATTTGTTTGTCCTCTAGTGTTACAGTTGCCTCCTTCTCTCAGCAAAAGGAACAAATGCAGTTGATAAAATCAGAACTTAACAAATATAAGCCAGATGTCAAGTAGAAACCCTCCGAGACGCCACAGAACAACCATTACACAGCATGCCTGTCAGAGGGGTGTTGGGAGCAGTGTGGACATAAAAATTAGATTTAGTCCCATTTTCAATATGGTTATAGCTTAAAGAAACTGAGACATACACACTGAGCTGCCAAGTAGAAGGACCATGGATAAACTTCATGGTCCACGAAGATTCTCACTAGGCAAAGAAGGTCAAGGCAGCAGAGAAAAGTTAAGGCACCAAAGACAAATTTAAAATATTTTGCACTCCAGGTACAGCTGAGCCTTCTGTAAACACCACCAGCTTTGACCATCTCTTCATCCCTGGCTATGAGGGAGATCAGCACTGAACCACTGCAATGTTCATCAATATAGGCACCAATAGCATCCCTGACAGCTACCAAAAGAATTTAATGCCTGAGCACTGGAAAGTTTGAGGTATCTACTGCCAGTCCAAGACCTCTGTATGGATGATCATCTGCAAGTTCTCTCCAGCAGGAGTACCACTACTGGGAGAAAGAACAAAATATATCAGAGCATCCAAGGAACTCAGCTGGACCTGGACACAACTTATAGAGTTGGAACAGAAGCTGGACCACACCACTGAAATTATTCAGAGGATGACTTTCAAGAGAAAGATCCAAAGTTTCCTCTCTTGATCTGTTGACAACATTTTACTGATCCAACTGGAGCTTCTGAATGCAAATATGTATCACTCTCTCTCTCCTTTATTTTTTTATTGTGCTCAATTTTCTTTAGTTGCACGAGTGTTAATTTTTGTCAAACTTTTGGTGTGCTTGTGTTTATTCTGAATTTCTCTTTCAATATTTCAACATGTTCTGTAAATATGCATTTATATTCATTGTTTACATATTTAATGGGTTCAATTTCATTCATGCTCAGTTTTTCAAGGAATTTTACTTATATTCTGTATTTAATGTACACAAGTTTTGTTTCAATTATCTTATAAAGAACAACATATATTAAGCATTAAAAGGTTTTATTTTATGCATCATCATCAGCGGTATTCTTACTTTGTATTTTGCTGCTTTAATTGAAGGATTTTACTTCATTACCAAATTTTGCATTTTAATTTTTCTTGTGTTAAGTTTTATGAATCTATGTGTAAAATGGATTTCATTTTATGTTTATAACTACAGCATACTTTATGTAAAGAGTTTTATTATTTCACTCCAGTAATTATGTTTAATGTTTATCTATATCTACATAGCTATTTCCTTTAATTATGTCTCAAGATATTTCAGTGTATAATTTTGCTCTCCTTATTGGTATTGTATAGTTAAGTTCAAATGTAAAACTGTGATCTGTTCCAGTTATCTTTAATTGTTTCTTTCATCTATTACTGTTACTTTTTTACAGTTAAGTATTACCCATTGATATATTTTTCCAACATGTTTTTGTTCATCTCTCACTTCACATCATATTTTTGTTCTCTGTATTGTATTAAAGGAATTGATTTTATGTATGTTTTTCTGTATGTATATGCAAGTCTCAAAAAGTGTATTACCATGTTGATCATCCCGTAACTTATCCCGAGATAAGAAAGAAGGGCTTGCAGTATTCAAATACAATATATCTCAATCTTGCATAGTATTTATTCACTCATAAAAGTTTTAACATTGCTCTTAAGTTCCAATTCTAGAACTAGCTAAAATCTGATTGAGTGCAAAATTCAACCAAAGATGCTACTTTCAGTAGCCTGTCTTATTTTACCTTGTGTATGTAAATACAACTTTGTAACGGTTGCATAGAACAGACATTTCTACACTCTGGTGTCTGATTTCTAACTTATTAACTCCTGAAAGAATGTGTTTAGTGGATAAAATGGGAGAGTTTGGTTTCGACCTTTACAAAAGGCAATTTGTTTCATATTTGAGAACACAAATTCTCATTGGTAAAGTCCAGTCCTTGCTCTGCTATATCTGTTTCTATCTCCTAATTGTGTATGCTTTATTTTAAATTCATTTAAGTTTGTAAAAATTATTCTAATTTAAATACAGTTTTACTAATCCTATCTGATCAGCCACTCCTTTATTTTTCCAATATCTTTTGCAAATAAAGTGTATATTTTAAATTAATTTTCACACACAGTCTTCTGTCTTTCAATCCACCTGTTATAAATCACTAAATTTGTCTTTTCATATACTAAATCCATGAAAATCAGATAACTGTGTGGTTGGTTTGTCAAATCTTAACTAAATATAACAATATTAATTTAATGAACCTCACTCAGTGCCATCTATTTACAAAATATTTCACTAAATTCATAATATAAAAAGTACTAGCTAATTTGACAAAGTAACAAATCATTCATAAAACATTTTGCTCATTACATTAACTATCCAATGTATGCATGGTTAAGTTCAACTGTAATTAACTTAGCTAAACACAAATAATTAAAACACTGATTACTTTTTTAATTTCTTGTTCTTTATCAGCCAGTTTTTCTTTCCAACTGTCTGCCTCTTTCACTTTCATCTCTTCAAGGCTCTTTATCAATTCTTCCTGAAATGAATAAAGATATATTCCAAATTAGGCCAATCCCGCATTATAAACTATTTTTTACACCATTTACTTGTCTTAAATAACGACATATGCAGGTTACTAAGAGAAATTGGAAGTTTTCTAGAAAGGTTAATATCTAAAAGAAATTGACAACAAAATCTGCTGATATTAGTACCATACTGGCCCGATTATAGGGCAATCTCGAATATAAGCTGACCTCCATTTTCAAAAACCATAGGAAAAAAAAAATTGAGTGTCATAACGTCCTTTTTTTAAGTCCATGAAATGCCTTTCTTGTAGAATGTGCATTAAGGAGTTCAGTTTTTTTTGTTTCTGCCAATGTCTCCCAACATTTTCAGTTACACCAAATTTTCTAGCAGTAGTACAATGGTTTGTTTTTCTGGCTCATGCATCACCATAATTTTAAGGTTTACATCATAACTCTGTCATAATCTTTTGTTAATTTGATACTTTCTTGTTCCCTGTCTTTCAATGTGGTCACTCATGCTTGTACAAGCTTTGATCACTTAAATGAGACTCACAGACAACAATTATTATACAATTCAAAATGAGCACAGTTAAAGCAATAACACACCAGCAAAATCAATACTATAACTGATCAGCCTGCAGGTGGATTAGTTACAAGAATTAGTGATGACCGTGAGCAAACATCTGGTGCACCTGCATAGACAGATGCCACCTGGACATTAAAGAACGTGAAAGGCTAGAGTAGGGGGAAGGGGTCTGTGGTTGGCCACAATTATAAGACAACTATGAATTTTACAGCCCAATTATTAATAAAAAACATCACCTTGTAATCGGGCCATTACAGTAATATTATAGTTACTTTCATGGCATTATCTAATGTCTCAAAAGAAAATCACTCAATAAAAAAAAAAGCTAGTTGAAAAATATTATTTCCTGATAATGAACAACAAGCAATAATCTGAGGATAACACATTTTCCTCCTTCATTTCTAATAATGTTGTTTTAGGCCAGGCCTCGACAAATCCCAGGTGCCAGGTCACCATAGCGACTAAAAATTTCATCATGGCACCTTGTATTTTCTCTCATTTTATTTGTGCATAGGGCTGTGCTAAATAGAACTTGAATCTAAAATGGTTGTCAAGGCCTGTTTTAGACTTCCTAAAACAATAGTATCCAAGCAACATCACATTGCTGAGAAAATATTTGCAATACTTTCTATTATCAATGACCTACTAGAATTACAAACTACAAATGCAAAACAAAAACTTACATCCTTTGTATGAATGGTCTTGTAATGGTCAACTTCAGTCTCTAACTTGTAACAACAATCTTCTGTTTCTGCTAACTGGACAGTAATTTCACTTAACTTTTCATCTTTCTTCAAGCATTCAGCAATTATTTCTTCTTCTTTAAACATAAAAGCCACTCTTTCTTCTTGTCTCAAGTTCTCAATTGATCTTTTTTCTTCTCTTAAGTTTTCAGATAATATTTTTTCTGCCTTTAAGCTTTGGGCCAGCCTCTCAACTTCTTTTGAGATATCAGATAACATCTGAGCATTGGAAAAGACTTCAGTTAATCTCTGCTCTTCACTAAAACTTTCTGCACACCTCTGCTCATCCAAAGGGCTTTCTGCACACCTCTGCTCATCCAAAGGGCTTTCTGCACACCTCTGCTCTTCCAAAGGGCTTTCAGCACACCTCTGCTCTTCCAAAGGGCTTTCAGCACACCTCTGCTCTTCCAAAGGGCTTTCAGCACACCTCTGCTCTTCCAAAGGGCTTTCAGCCAACCTCTGCTCTTCCAAAGGGCTTTCAGCCAACCTCTGCTCTTCCAAAGAGCTTTCAGCCAACCTCTGCTCTTCCACGGGGCTTACCGAACACCTCTGCTCTTCCAAAGGGCTTCCAGCCAAATTTTGCTCTTCAACAGAATTTTTGGCCAACCCCTGATCCTCATCAGAGCCTTCAACCAACACCTGCTCCTTGACAGAGCCTTCAACCAACACCTGCTCCTTGACAGAGCCTTCAGCCAACATCTGTTCATTGACAGAACCTTCAGCCAACATCTGTTCATTGACAGAACCTTCAGCCAACATCTTGTTCAATGACAGAACCTTCAGACAACCTCTGCTCTTCAATAGAGCTTACAGCCAACCTCTGCTCTTTGATAAAGCCTTCAGCCAGTATTTCACTTTCACTGAATTTTTCCACTACCCACTCCTCTTTGACAGAGCCTTCAGCCGATGCCTGCACCTCGACAGAGCCTTCAGCCGATGCCTGCACCTCGACAGAGCCTTCAGCCGATGCCTGCTCCTCGACAGAGCCTTCAGCCGATGCCTGCTCCTCGACAGAGCCTTCAGCCAACATCTGTTCTTTGGCAGAACCTTCAGACAAACTCTGCTCTTCAATAGAGCTTACAGACAATATCTGCTCTTTGATAAAGCCTACAGCCTAGTATTCACTTTCACTAAATCTTTCCACTACCCACTCCTCCTCGACAGAGCCTTCAGCCAATGCCTGCTCCTCGACAGAGCCCTCAGCCAACATCTGTGCTTTGGCAGAACCTTCAGACAGACTCTGCTCTTCAGTGGAGCTTACAGCCAACCACTGCTCTTTGATAAAGCCTTCAGCCAGTATTTCACTTTCACTGAATTTTTCCACTACCCACTCCTCTTCGACAGAGCCTTCAGCCAGCCCCTCCTCTCCGACAGAGCCTTCAGCCAGCCCCTCCTCTCCGACAGAGCCTTCAGCCAGCCCCTCCTCTCCGACAGAGCCTTCAGCCAGCCCCTCCTCTTCGACAGAGCCTTCAGCCAGCCCCTCCTCTTCGACAGAGCCTTCAGCCAATCTCTCATCTTCTCTCGAGCCTTCAGCCAATCTCTCATCTTCTCTCGAGCCTTCAGCCAATCTCTCATCTTCTCTCGAGCTTTCAGCCAATCTCTCATCTTCTCTCGAGCTTTCAGCCAATCTCTCATCTTCTCTCGAGCTTTCAGCCAATCTCTCATCTTCTCTCGAGCTTTCAGCCAATCTCTCATCTTCTCTCGAGCTTTCAGCCAATTTCTCATCTTCTCTCGAGCTTTCAATCAATCTCTCATCTTCTTTGAAATATTCATAAGAAGATGCTTCACTAGGCTTTAGTTTCTCAAATACCTGCAAGGCTTCTTCAAACTGTGTACACCAGTTTGCATAATCCTAATTGATTGAGAAAACATTCATTCCTATATTTATATGTAATTTCATAATAAGACTCGTGAATTTACATAACAAAATGACCAGATGCATTATTCTATTAAAAACCATACAAACATCAAAATAATTATAAATTGTTTAGAGTAAATTTTCTTTGTATGTTTCACAAACTCAATATTGGCAACTAATATGTTTTCAAAATTCACCAGAAACCAAACAAATTCAAACAAGAGAATTACAAAATGAAGAACAAGACATCAGTTAAAAAAGTTCTTTTACACTGATATTGGTAATAAGATAAGAAGTACAGACTAGATACTGCAGAACTTTAGAACTATTGCTTTCCAGGGACATCTACACAGAAATTGATAAAGATCAACATAAAGGACTAGTAGTAGATTCAGTTTCTTTTCTTGATCAATCAGAATTACATCTGGAGCTAATCTATATCCAAGATATTAAAACACAATTCAATCATGGTTTAATGTAAACAGAGAGAGAATGTGTGTCACACAATAAATTAATTACAAGTACCTAACTACATTTTACCAACAGTCCTCTATGTTAAAAGAATGTGAAACAGGTTGAGATAAAGAAAGAATTATTATCTTTAGTTATATTCTAATGATAAACAGTATTGTACATAATACACCTAGATTAATACTAGATGGTTTTCAATATATTTTTATAATGATTTTTAAAATACACCCAACTGATCAGATATTCACGAAAATCACAGAATAATGTTATCTAAAATTCCAGATCATTTACAGCCACTTATAAGAGTAACCTAGCTATTGATATGTGCCAAGCTCGTGTACTAATGAAATTGTACTCTCTACCATTCATCACAAAATAATAGAGTATCCAGTGACAGCTTTAAAACATTAAATTCTAAAATCTCCCTTCAAATACACATACAAAAAGTGAAGAATGATGATATTTCTGCAACTGATAAAGAAGCTAATGTTTTAAGTTTATTTTAATACAAATATAAATAACTGGCTATCTGGACTTTGTCCATCACAATGAATTGAACCCCTGAATTGACCATTGTAAGTCCATATATTTACAGCTGACTCTATGGGGACCGTTATCTGTACATAGCCTTCCCTAAATTTTGATTGTTAAACTAACGAGAAGATAGCTAGTGAACAGCAACCACTGTCAACTTGTCTGACCAAATAGTGGGACATGATTGTCACTCTTATAGCACAATTACAGCTCCAAAGTACTTTGCATGTTTTTGTATAAATGGGCTTTGAAACACGAGTCATTGGATTCATAGTCAAGGCACAATAACCATTAGGAAAAGCCCCCCCACCACTCTTTGAAAGCATTCAAATTGTTGGAATATATTTTTTGGACATTTAAGTCACTTTAGAGTGTTATCTAATAAACAAAAATG